GCTGGCTGCGAGAGTCCAACTTGGCCCCGCGGCGTGCCCCCGGCGCCTCGTGGGCCCGCTCTGCCCCGGTGGGACCCGTGCCCACCCCGCGGGCTGGCGACTCTGGGGGCGGGGTCAGGGCAGATCCGGCTCCGCCTGGCTGGAGAGGTAGCTGTGGGGAAAGGGCTGCAGATGCGCGCCCGGAAGCCCCGTCCGAGCCGAAAGAATTGCTGGCCTTTGTGTGGGTTCTGCACCTGCCCAGGGAGGGGCAGGCCGCCACGAGTGGGCAGGTCTGTGGTTGCGAGGGCAGCGTGTAACTTGCCTTTGCCCAACAGTGGCGGCCGCCTCGGGCCGCTGATTCCTTGTCTGCGCGTCCGTCCGTCTTTTGAGAGCATGCTCTCCAGGAAGCGACTTGCTTCTCTGAGCGCTTTGAAAACTGGACAGCCCAGAAACGTGCCGTTGTCAGCTGCCCTCTGCCTCTTGCGCTCAACGTGTGCTAAGTTGCCAGTGTTGGGGAGTTGGCGTGTGGCCCCACCGGGAAGCGTCCCTTGCCACAGAGGCAGTCAGTCGCGAGCTTAACCACTGGCTTCCCCGTGAATAAATCCACGTCGCTGCTGGAATAACTGATGGCTCTTTGTGAGGCTGGCACTCGAGTATAACGTAGCTACCCAGAGGGATACAAAGGGGTGGTTTGTTGTATGGTGCCAAAGTCTTCCATCACCGAAGAGGTGCAAACTTGCCTAGACGGTGTGAATGAACGAGAAGCTAGGGTCTCGGCAGATCAGAGAACAAATTCGGGACCTCAGAACCATTTAAGAAAACGCATTGTTAAGGCTCTTCATGCAGAACACCCTCACAGCGCAGCGTGCTAGTTTCCCAGTGAAAAGGCACGTGTGTATTTCCATCAGGAGCACATGCGTGTGCGCGCACGGCCACCTGCAGACACAGGTGAAGGCTTATTTCAGAAAACAACTCCGCGAACCAGGCCAAGCAGCCAGGCCTGCTCTTCCTGGAAGCCCTGCCAGCTGCAGGCCCAGAGGCACGTCTTAAGGAGTTCTCACTATGGCGGGGAGGTCAGTGCCCCGAAAGGGAAGCAGCTTTGGGGAAACGGCAGCGTGTCTGCATCTCCACCCCAGAGGCTCCAGGCCTACTGCTAAGTGCTTTGGGTTTTACAGATCTAAGTAAATCCCCCTGCCAGCCCCGCTTGGGTCTTCCCACTCCGGCTGAGCCCACCCCGGCAGCCTTCGGACTGGCAGACAGCGCCGGGCAGCCCTCTCCCTCAGTCCCTGTGGAAGTGATGAGTCGTGTTGGGGTTCCCACCACCCTGGTTTGGGAGCCAGTGGCTTGCTCACGCCCAGTTTGTGCCTGGGGTGGCTGCTGCTACCGGAAGTGCTGCTGCCTCCGGGGTGGGAGGGGGGGCACTTGCTCAGGCTTCTGTTGCTCCTGTTAAAACCGAGCATGACATGCTGGGGCTTCGCGGTCTGGGGAGTGGCTGGACGATCTCTAGTTTTGGAAGATCAACTTAATTTTAAAAGTATTTTATTTTGAAAGTTTTGACTGACATGAGAGTGTAAAACTATACAGGGCTGCAAAACCATCCTGTTAACATTCAATTATATTTACTTACATTTTGTCTCTTGATGACCTTCCTTCCCGGGCTTGGGCGTCTTCGTAGGGCAGTGAGGTCATTTTCCTTCAGCCAGAAATTTCTCCTTCATGTTCTTGAATAGTTCTGGATTGTTTTCAGTGTTTTTTTTTTTTGTTTTTAAATCTTGTCAGAACACGTCTTTTTCTGCATTTTGAAGAAAATTTGTTTACAGAATCTTGGACTGCTGGTTATTTTCGTCCATGAAACTTCTGGAGCTCAGTTTCTTCCTTCCATGGTTCCTTTCAGAGGCTAGTAGCATCACTGTTGCTCCTTTGGAAGCAATCGTCCTTTTTCTTTGGCTGCTCTGGAGACTCAGTTTGTCTTCTATTTTACAATGTGTGCACAACCTCCAAAGCCAGTGTTCACGCTAGACTTAGAGTGTGACATGACAGTGAGAACCTGCTAATACAACACTCTATCTACTTGCCAGCCCCAGCGTACATGTAAAGTGGCTTCAGAATCATTAACCCACAGTTATGAGAAACAGCAGTTTGACCCGGAGTACGGGGTCCATGGACAGTTCTTTTCGTGTTGGCCTTATAGTCACCGATAAAACAGTTTTCCAAAGTAAGTTGATTTCCTTCATGGAGGCTGTTAGCCATCCTGTATTTCCTCTGCGATCTGATAGATTAATCTCTATTTAGCCTCCGTAACAATCACTCCTGTGGCGCAGTTCTCTAGATTTCTGAAGTTCAGAGTTGTGTACCCACTAGCCTGTCAGCGATCTTGACAGAATGATTCCATCACTCCCAGATTCTTCATGGGCCGCATGTGCAGCTGTCTTTTTCCTTTCCCCTAAAAAACATTCATTCATTGTTCTTCCCTAGTTTTGCCTTTTACAGACTGTTACACAAAAGAACCATGCAAGCAATGGTGTTTTTTTCTCTCACTTAACAAAATGTTTTAAGTCAAGGTGAAGCGTACACACAGTGCAACTCACATGTGTAAAGTGACAGCTTTTGTATTCTGGCAAAAGGACACACACACCTAGTCTATCCACAGAGAGAACATTTCCGCACCCCATGACGTTCTTTATGTACTGTCACAGTCAATTCCTGCTCCTGCTTAAGTTTATGGGCACATTGTGTTTTATATCCAAAAATTAGAGAACACATGGAAACACGAAACTTTTGTTCAATTTGACCTAATAAAATTAGCAGCCCACATATTGCCTTCCAATGGACATTTACAGAATGTTACCTCAAAAACAAACCCAAAATTCACAATGTTGACTTCAACCAGAGGTTACTCTTAAACCCAAGAGAGATCAAGGGCTAGGCAGACGCCGCCAGCCGGCAGTCCCTCCAGGGATGTCCAGCACAGTGGCACATCACCTCTGGGCTTCAGGAAGACCTCAGCTAGTTTTCAATACTGCTCACTGACCACTTGAACATTTTTCCCTTTCAGTAAATAGGGGAGAAGGGTATACATGGGTATAAATGTCATTGCAGGAATGGTAAAAATCAACGCCACAAAGTCCATTTACTTGACAAAAATGTCACGATGTTAGAAAAAGTGTATAGCAAACACAGTCTCATTTCCACCATGAGAAATGAAATCAACTCAGGGATATTCAGAAATACTTTTTTTTTTATGACACAGATATTAATATTTTAAAAGTCAAGTCTAAATAATATATACAAGACTATGGGACACAATTTATGGTTTATTTTAGATCATTACAGATATAAATGCTTCTATTAAAACACTTAAAATTCGTGAGTGGCCCAGCCAAAGGAAGAGGCACTGTAAAAGATAACCCCACTCTCCTCACAAGTCCACTTTTCATTTCCAATTTATACAACATGGGAGCTGCACAATGGAGGAATCACCATGGTGACTACATGGCTGGGGTGCCCTTGTGTGAGTTCTCACATTTCAACAAATACAGGGATCACTGAGACTTTCCAGTGCTAATATGCTAGCAGGCCGCACATCCAGGGAGAATCTACTGTTCCTAATACGAGAGGCATTCTTCTTGTAGTCACACATTTCTTTGCAGCAAGTGCTCATAGGTTCCTAAGAATGTGGAAAAATGGAAATCATTCCAATACTGATCACATCTCATGGGAATTTTTTTCTCCAGAATAAGTCTTTATATCTCTTGAAATTGGGGAAACATTCAACTTTTCCCAGTAATTACATTCAGTATATCCATACTGAGTACTTCTGCTCGGTAATATAAATGCTTTAGTACTGTGGGGTTTCCAGCATTCCTGTGGCTCCTCGGGAGGGGTTTCTCACGCTTTCTGAGGGATGACTGTCCCAAGAGCTTCTGTGTTCTGATGATGACAGTTTCTCCTAGTGGGAACTGCCACGTGACACCCCAGAGATGCCACTGATGCTTTCCTATAGCCACCCGCTTGTGTTGCTCCCCAACACATAACCTGTGGTGCACATTGAGGTGCACTTGAGCTGACGGCTTACCAGGCTGTTCTTATGAGGTTCTCCACAGTGAATTAAGATGAGAGTTGCTGAATGCCACCTAACACTGACTACACGGAAGGTCTTTTTACATGAATTCCACTGCAAGCATCAGGTGGTTTCCAATGATCTCTCTTTGGGTACACTGGACTCCCCTGCATTTAATCAGGATAGGTCTGTGAGACAGTAAGTATGGATTAAGCAACAGTAAGTCTTCCTGAGAATGGGTCAAAGGGGGCGTGGATGACGTATTAGCGTTCCCTTTTGCGAGAACTGGCTGCTAGATTGTTGCCTTTGTGGCCCCATGGAGAGTTGCATGTGGTGAAGGAATGGCAGTTCCTTGCCAACAACTGGGAGGAACAGACCCGAGTGAACACTTCTGGAAGAGGGTTTACTCTTTTGCAGTAAACTCAGATGACTATGGCTCCTGTGACATCTTGACTACCTCATAGATAGCTTGAGACAGAACTATACCATGAGCTGTTTCCAAATTCCTGACTCACAGAGTTGTGAGACTGTCTCAATAAATGTTGTTGTCGATAGCTATGTTTTGGAAGAAAATTTATGCAGCAACAGAGTTCCTATATCAATTATGAATTACAAGTTGTCTGGAAATAAAAAATCAGTGACTGCACCCCCAGTTACCATATTCATATCCACCGGTTATGTATTCGCTTGTGCACTGAGAGGTAAGAGTTAGTGGTGAAAGATTTTCCACACTGATTGCATTCATAGGGTTTTTCTCCAGTGTGCGTCCTCACGTGTTTCTTAACAGCCGAGAGATTATTAAATGCTTTCCCACAATTGCTGCACTCATAGGGTTTTTCTCCAGTATGAATTCTCTTGTGTACAGTAAGTGAAAAGCTACTGCTAAAAGATTTCCCACACTGGTTACATGCATAGGGTTTTTCTCCAGTGTGAGTTCTCATGTGCTGTGTCAGGTACGAGCTCTTCCTAAAGGTCTTTCCACAGTCATGGCATTCGTAAGGTTTCTCTCCCGTGTGAATACTGTTGTGTCCAGTGAGGGAGGACCTCGTGCTGAAGGCCTTCCCGCACTGATTACATTCGTGGTGATTCTCTCGCGTATGAATTCTCTTGTGGCTTTTGAGGTTACAGCTAGTGCGGAAGACGTGAAAACACTGGTTACATTCATAAGGCTTTTCTCCAGTGTGGATTCTCACATGCAGTCTCAGTGAGGAGGGGTCGTTGAAGGTTTTCCCACAGTCATTGCACTCGTAGGGCTTCTCCCCATTGTGGATTCGCCTATGAATAGTAAGGTAGGACCGACTGCTGAAGGATTTCCCACACTGGTTACAGTCATAGGGTTTCTCTCCAGTATGAATTCTCTTGTGCTGAGTGAGGTTAGATTTTGTGCTGAAGACTTTAAAACACTGGGTACATTCATTAAGTTTCACTCCAAGGTGATTCCTTTCCTGTTGATTAAGAGATCAATGATAATTATAATTTATAAAACTTTAATATTTAAAGCTATCTTAAGAATTTTCCTGCCACAAAATAGCAGAAACTACCCAGTTTAGCCTTACCGCTTTCACACCATTAGTGTGTTCTTTTCTAAAAGCATGCTTCTTAGGAGTTAGCCACTGGGCTTTAATTACAGTCTCCAAATCTGAAACAAATTGAAGGTAAATATGAGTTGATGGAGAAAAATACAGTGACATGCACACACAAGTAGAGGCACAACTCCGAGCGGCTGGGCTTTTCTCTGAGAAGTCTGCAAGGAAAATGAACTCCGTGTGCACACAGTAGCTGGGTTCTATAAAACGACCCTGACACAGTTAACACCGACCAGAAGTTTACAGAAGAATTAACAGGAATGCAAAGTTAAACTGGATAAAGTTTATACATGTAGGACTTAAATTTAAAAAGGACGAGCTGCCTTTTTCTTCTTCCGCTAAGGCCAAATCAAAATCCGCAATGCTGAGCGGAATGGTAAAGAGGAAAGACGGAGGGAGAACAAGGAATGCCCTGGCCATCTGCCCAAGAAAAGGCACCTTTCGCAGAGTAACCTGATCGGCATTTCCTACAGGACTATTCCCCTGTGCCCTGACTCACGGGCCACGCTGGCCTGCACATGGACTGTGCCACCCAGTGCTCACCTGGACAAGCGCCTGGGAGAACCCCGCCTTCCTCGGCCGGTGTCTTGTCTTCTTGTTCCAACTGGGAGATCAGGCTGGGTTGATCGACATGACACCCTAAATCATGGAGAAGACATACGTTGTATTGCTCCTATGCAGGTGATAGAGCAACTAAACTCAACAACTCCGTAGATGGGGAAGAATGATTGTGGGCGCAGTGGAATAACCATCTAAATGCTAGTGGACATCTTCTCAAGGGATACAAACACAAGCATCCTCACCCAGGAGACACGGCATAAATATTTCCGAGTCCCAAGGCCACCTCAGGAGGCCGAAAGCCTGGAGCCAAGTGAATATCAAATGAGGCAAAGAAAAGACATTCACGTCACAGGGAAGGCATCAGATACAACTGCCATGTCGCCCAACTTATCTGTCACTGTGTGACTAGACCCACACAATCCTGGGGCAGAAGTGCTTGCGAAGACTGCTGAGGGCTTTACTGGGCACAGAGCCTCTCACAGCCAAGCCACGCCAAGCCCAGAATATACATCGCTCTCAACTGCCCATGGAACTTTTTCAAGAATCTACTTTTTCAAGAACTGACTGTCTACTGGGACAGTCACAATACATTTGTGGACAGAAGTCCTATCAAGCATCCTTTTTTGATCATAATTTAGGCAGAATCTAGAAACCAACCACAGAAAGCTGTAAGAATCATTACACATACGAGTATACTAAACAACATGCTATTAAAAAATTATCAGGTCAACATGGAAATCAAAGGAGAAATTAAAAAAAACACGGAGAAAATGAAAATAACTAGAAGTGTGTAACACAACAGAAGCTGTACTAGGAAGCAAGTTTATAGCAATAACAAAAATCCAAATTTATACTTCGAGAAAAACAGAAGAAAGATTGGACCAGAAACGAATGAACTAGAAAACAAAAGGCCAGTAAAGAGCGGTGAAAATAAGAGTTGATTCTTTGAAGAAAAGAAACAAAACCGACAAGCCATTAGATACGGTCACAGAGAAAAGAGAAACCCCGAGTTAACAGGACCAGAAATGAAGGAGGTGAAATTATAATGGATGCTCACAGAAACACTGGGATCACGAGAACCTAGCCGAGCGTCAGGTGCGAGACTAACAGCACGCACAGGATAAACAACAAACTGGAATTCACAAAATCAAAACTTTGCTCAGTGGCGCTACCTAGAAACTGAAGACACCAGTGGGCCAGGAGTGGGGCAGGCGGTGAGGACAGGTGCCCCGCGCGCACACGCCCCCAGCCCACTCAGCCAGCCAGATGCGAAAGGGCTGGAGTCACGGTGCCCCGGCCCGGGGGAGGATCGCGGGTCAGAGCCCCGGCACAGCAGCACGGCACCAGGGTGGGCACCAACAGCACCCCGCAATCTGGAGACGTGGTCTCGGTGACGGGGAGGCCCTCGGGCCTTAGCCAGCCAGCAAGAGACAGTGTGAGACACCGCGGCTGAACCCCCATGTTCGCCCGCGCCCCATGGCCCACAACACCTCCTTCCTGCCCCTCTGCGGCTGCAGACTCGGGGCCCCACTCCACGGGCAGCTGTCCTGCCCGTCCACTCTGACGACGCGGCTCTGGCTTTTCTGCCTGACTATCGATGCCGAACCCCGCCCCGGACTCCACGCCTGGTTAGCGCCACAGAATGAGAGGGGCTGGTCACAAGCCACATTTTGGTTAAGAGACACAGGCCCTCGTGAAGCACATGAGAAGGCTCAGTGTCACCAGGCAGCACTGCGAGGGTGAAGGTAACCCGCAAGCACACGGGGAAGTTAGTCGGAACCTCCTAGGCTGGTGACCGGCGGAGGCGGGTTCGCGGCTGGAAGACAGTTGGGCGGTTTCTCTACAGTCAAACGCGAAACACACACACCGAGCGTTCTGCTCCTAGGAGACAGAACTGAGACCGACACTGAGCCCTGAGCACAGTGCCACGTCCCGAACAAGGCACCAGGCGGGCACCAGCTTGTCTGCCACCGGGACAGACAGCCCAGCGCGGCGGCGGGCGCACCAGTGCGGGAGCAGCACTCGGCCGTGAGGAGCCGGCGGGCCCGGCCCGCGCACCGCAGAGCGAGCCCGTAAAGCCGCGGCCATGGGACTTTATGGTTCCAGTGACAAGGAAGGTTCTGAGGGGAACCCCGGGGCAGGGCCCTCAGCTGCCAGCGGGTCTCTTCCGAGGGGATGACAATATCCAGAAATCAGCGCGGGTGGTGGTACAGCGTGGTGAATGGATCAAGGGCCACTTAGCCGCACTCTTTCAAACGGTCAATTCTGTGTTACGTGAATATGACCTCAGTCACGTGAAAGAGAGAAAAACCGATCCACGGTCCCCACAGACGGGGCCGAGGCCGGGCTTACCCAGCCAGGCCAGGTGCCGGCAGGTCTCCAGCATCACGTCTCTGTACAGCGTCCTCTGAACCGGGGCCAGCAGGGCCCACTCCTCCGGGCTGAACTCCACGGCCACGTCCTCGAAGGCCACCAGGCCCTAGACCGGGGCAGACACTGACTCATCAGAGCGCCCCTCCGGACTCCCTGTCCCAGGCCCCCACCTCCGAGAGCAGCGGGCTGGACACTGTCGAAACCAGAGGGGCACCAATAAAGCCCCAGTGGCCAACGGAAGCTGAGTCTGGGAGACTCAGGTTGTTCTCAGTGCGCCTGGAAGCCCTGAGCAGAGCGCGTCAGCGGGGGCTCTGGAGGAAGCGTGCGGGGTGCGACGTCCAGCACCACTGTCGGGGCCCCTCGCCCGCCACGGCGCCCAAAGCCCTGTCTTGCTGCGAGGTTCTAGTCACCGAGAGAGTGGAGCCAACTCACCTGTAACCAGCTTGCCGGGAAGCCTCGACCCGGCCCTTCCTCCTCTGGGACTCCGTCCTGAGAGGCTGGGGAGAGGGGCTGAGCTGCAGAAACATGAGCCGCCACAGCCCCAGTGTGCTGTCCTGACCCACAGATCTGAGTTTCTCCACCTGCCTGCAATGGGCCAAACCCGCCCAGCAACCAGAGGAAAGCCTGTTTCACTAAGGGTCAAAAATAGGGTCGACGGCCCTCCCTGGTAGTGCAGCGGGTTGGAGCTCAGCACTGCAAGCTGCCTCAGCTGCCTCAGCGCAAGTGCAATCCCCGCCGGGAGCTGACCCCCAGGGCGCCGCAGACCTCTGCTGGCCCGCCACAGTGGGGCGCCCACTGCTCCCCTTAGCATGTTGTTCCTCTGCCTGTCTTGCTCCCTGCTCTGTCTCTGGGGAGTCCTCTCACCACCCCTGCACCTCTGGCCTGTACCCCAGTTCTGTATGCGTAAATACATCTTTTAAAAAAGAAAAGAAAATGGGATTGATCACATTCAAGTAAGCTGCCTATTCCCACTTTACGGATGCAGAAGTTGAAATTTGAGGGAATTATAATTACTTTATCACCTTACTAAATGCCATACAAGTATGAGTTTATTTCTTTAGCGTCTATAACATTCTGTTTCGTGTGGGACTACTTTAGTTCCTTATACAACTAAATGTTGCGCATCTTTCTCTGAGACTTTCATCCTTTTCTCTCTCACCACCCTCGGGACTTGCTGGAGGTGCAGCCTGAACTCCACACCCCCCGCCGGCGAGCCGCCCCCGGCCAGCTCCCAGCCCTGACCCGCTCTGTGGCACCCGAGCCCTGAGTCTGGACCCGGAGGGGCCACCACTTACCGTAAGCGGGGCACAGGGCAGCCGCCATCCCGACGGGGAGGAGGTTCCCCTGAACAACCAGGTGGTGAGGGGACCGGGCCCGCTCTTCCTCCTGGCGCACGCTGGACAGGGCTCTGGAAGACATGGAACAGCAGGAAGGCCTCATGGCCTGTCCGTGGTACAAGGCTCCTCAGCCCATTGTGCCCAACAGCAAAACGGGGCATGTGACCCCGTTCTGCTTCTGGGGGGCCAGTTGGGGCTGCACTCGGCAAACCCCTTCCCTGTATAGACTGGCCCAACAGTCCACCGCGGCTGTCCCACCAGAGCCCTCAGTCGGTCACAGTGCCTGCCACACCCCCAGACGGTGGCGCCTGGCTCCCGCCGGCTTCCGGCCTCCGGGCTCGGGCGCTCAGCTGACTCAGAGCGGGGAGACCAGCAGCACTTCCTCGTGAGTTTCTCGACGCCAGGCCCTGAGCCCCATGCCACGCTGGCACACGTGCCCAAGGGCCGCCCTAGATCCTGTCTTTGCCACCTCTATTCTGAGCCTCTCCGGGCGCTGTCCAACCCGGAACTCCCAGGGGTCCAGCCCGGTCCCTGCCAGCCACACCTGGCGGCCGAGCGCTGGGTCGTGGCTGCGGAGCCTGAGGCAGATGTCCAGGGTGCTTTCCAGGCACTCATCTGAGCTGGCGCCCAGTGGCTGAGGGCCAGGAGCGCGCACACACTAACACTTGACTTCTTGCATGATGTGGGAGGAGGGGCGAGGCGGGGTGCAGACACCCGCCTGCTTCCGCCGCAGGGCGAGGGCCTAGTGCTCTGCTCCTGACGCACGGGCGCAAGGTCGCTGCGGTGCTCACTGCAGCGTCTTTTAACTTTGCTATTCCACAACCTGGCCTGGGAGGACTCGTCTCCTTCCTCACCTTTCTGGTCCCTCCTACTGAGGCAGAACAGGAATTCAGCACAAAGGCTGCAGCACCCGACCCCACCGAGACTGCTGTGCGTGGTCTCCAGCAACACACGCTCAGAGCACACCACTGGCTCGAAACTCCACCTCTCATTCTACTGGCGGGGCTACGGAACGGCCAACGCTCACCATCGCTATGTAAACGCCTGCCCCTTCTGTGAGACAAAAGTGGCCTCAACCTGTCAGGGTCCCTCCGTGAGCCCTGCCCCCACACTTATGGATGCACACAGAACTGGGGTGCAGGCCAGAGGTGCCGGGGTGGTGAGAGGCTTCCCCAGAGACAGAGTGGGGAGCAGAACAGGCCAACTGAGGAAGCACACTGCCGAGGGGAGCCCCGGGCGGGTCAGGAGGGGCCTGCTGCACCCTGGGGTCACCTCTGGGGCGCGGATCGAACTCGCACTGAAGCGGCTGCGGCTCTCTTGCAGTGCTGCGCTTTTTAACCTGCTGCGCCACCAGCGAGGGCCTGTATTTCGAATCTTCATGGAGAATTTACAAGGCTTTAGAAGTCAGAGCTCGTAGGCCTGAGGCAGATTGCTGAGAGCCCCGCGAGTCTGGTGAGTGACGTCCGGAAATTCTGAGTCCCACAGAAAGCAAGACAATGCCATTTCTCTGGGGCACATTACTTGCTTAAGGTGTGCTTACTGGCATAACAACCACACACACTTCAGTCTTTTCCCCTTGAACATCCTCCAGCAAAAATAACTTTCCTCACGATACCCTCACGGTGACTGGCTCCTTGCCTTTGCAGAACGCGGGTGGGCCACCATAGGGCGTCCATCCGCAGGGCAGGCTGCTGGGGCCCGCTGCGGGCGCTCCACAGGGACCTCACCTGATCGGCGAAATCCTCGGGTCAGTGGGAGCAGGCGAGGCTGCTGTCAACGCCAACTCGAGCTTCGGAGGTGCTCCGCCTGTCTGCGGGGGACAAGGGCACACTGGCTGCTTTCGGGCCTTCTGCGGGCTGACCTACTTGCTGGGTGCCAAGTGCGCCCCTCACCATTCTTTTGGAAGCACCGTGGGCGGCCCCGGGACTCCCCGCTTCCCACCCAGCCCTCCTTCCCCCAGCTGGGGCCTGCTCCGCTGGCCGGTTTGGAGGGCGCTGGGGAGATTCCCCACGGTGCAGACTCGGGGTCACCCGGGGCGCCACGGACGGCGACTTTCCGCATTCGCCGTGGGTGGAGGGCGCCACGGGGGCTTGCCCACCCGCGCTCCGGGAAGCTTCGTCCCGGGGCGGCGCAGCCGTAGAGGGCGACCTAGAGCGGCCCCTCCTCGGCCCACCCGGTGCCAGGGCCGCTGCCCGCGTTTACGACGCCGCGCGGAGCCTGCCAACAGGCCTCCGGGCGGGTCCCGGCAGGGGCCGG